GGGGGGCACTGTAGGAGTTGGAGGGGAGCTTTGAAAATTTTAGAAATTTTTCAACAGTCTACGAATTAATTTCCACAGACCACAATTATATATGTTTGTCCAGTTTCGTATCAGTGCCCAATTCCCGATTCTACTGCGATGTAGTCAAACAGCCCCGAAATTATTGAATGCATCCTCGCACTAAGAAATGGAATGTCATTTGTCTGATTTTGCCTGTCGGGAAAGATCCATCATCAACCCGTAGCAAAAATTGGCTTATAAACTATGTTTAGGGAAATGGATAAAAGGAAGGGGAGTGGAAATGGACTAATTTATTAGCACTGAATATGAAGATCCGGCTTACGGATCGAAAGTTTTGCAGTAATAAATTTACGTGGAAAGTTTCCACAAACAAAACTATTATACATGTTTGTATATATATAGTTTTATATATGTATTATATATAGTTCAATCGTTTTTGCATATTAAAGGCTACAAAGTTTCAGAACTTTTTCATTTTCAGATTTGAACATTTGGTTGTTGCAAACCTACAAAGAACTTATGTTTACATTGTATTGGATCGTTTTCAGTCCCGCTCTTGGCATGGGTCATAGAGTAAACTAATTATTTAGAACTGAAGTAAAGCGTTCGGATAGGAATGGATCATGATGTTTCGTGCGTCAACCGCTTAAAATATCCGCTCCGTCAATCTCCGTTCCCCTCCTTATCCGGTCCTCATAATCGTATCAAATTTAAAAACACTTTAAAACAGCATTTAGCTGCACTTCACCGGTTTTGTTTGCTATTTTGACTGCACTTAATCGGTTTTGTTCGTTGCTGAAGTTACGAACTAAAACGTTTCGTAAAGTTAGTTAGTAGCTCAGCTTCGAGGAGAGACTTGAAAGAGTTGAAACAAGTGTACTTCGAGGATTAAACATAATTATCTGACCTATTTATACTGATACGATCAATTGATCATGCCAGAATACAAGTTGATCTACTTCAAACCCAGAGGACGAGGTGAGATGATTCGCTTGACGTTTGCAGCAGGCGGTGTTAAATATGAAGACTGTAGACTGACTAGAGAAGAATTCGAGGATTTAAAAGCCAGTAAGTTCACTGAAATACATAATAAATTATTAAATTAAGGGTATATTTTAAAACCTTCAAGGCTTCAACTATATACAAAGTACAAACTATATATATTCACATAATCAAGCTTAAATTCCAGTATATATATATATATATATATATATATATATATATATATATATATATATATATATATATATATATATATATATATATATATATATATATATACATATATATATATATATATAATACAACTTATCTTCGAGAGAAAAACGGCCGCCATTATTATAGTCGTCCGAAATGCGGTGATGAAAATGAACTATACTTCAGGGGTTTTCGAGATATTACAGGAAAAGTAAAGAACTTTAGCGATGTATCTCTTTATCAAGTAATGTAGCAATGGGAAGTGGTCGTCATTGAGATATTACTCATATTAGGGACCTTAAGCATGTACGACGGCAACGCGACGACGACAGCCAAAACAAACCTCTTCAAATAAATTATTGCGAAGAAGAGTTGTTGTGTATTATCAACTGCATGCATATATGAATTGAGTTCAGTTTAAAGAGATTAAAACAAAGACTTTATGGTTAAAAACGCTCCTGCTGAGCAAATTTGTATAGTTTCACTTGTCGCGTCTCGACATGTTTGCGTTGTACACGAGACGTAAAAATCTCTCGTTTGCCGTTGTAAAAATGTTAAGCACCAACACAACGTCTCTATGACGATGTGCAGATGGTATAATTTACTTCAAAATACAATAAAGCAATAAAGCGTGGAAAGTTGCCTTCTTTTTGGCTTCTTTTGAAAAATAGTATAGTTTGGCTTCTTTGATAAATTTTATTTGGCTGCTTTTCAAACCGTATTTGGCTGCGAGCATGCGCTGGAGCATACCAACCTTGGCTTGCCATGGCCATGGCAATAAAAATATGAAATGCAAGTGGGGCTCCAAAGCTCAAAATAGCCATTTTGATAATTTAAGGCTTTGCTTTTATTGGTAAAAATGGATGAGCATGGGCGTACCGGAAGGAAAAGTTTAGGGGGGCGGAAAAAAAATGCCCGACTTTTCGTGATTGTGCCCGACTAGTACCAAAAAATTTTTTCCGGAAATATTATTTTGGCGACCCCCCCCCCGGTCGCCAAAAAATTTTTGGTCAGTGTACCATTTTAGGGGTCAAAAAAATTTTCTGGACATACCAAAATTTTTCGTAACATCGCACAAATTTTCCAAAAAAAATACATTTCCCACAAAATTAACAAAATTTTCGACAAAATTGACAGAATTTGTCCCATTTATTTTTATAACTAACCAAAATTGCCCGACTGTTGATCGAATATTGCCCGACTGCCCAAAAAACTGGGGGGGGCTACCGCCCCCCCCCCCGCCCCCCGGGGAAACATTGTGAATTTCATATTTGTGGTGTTACTCTGAGTGTATATCCACACCGGGCGAGCTTGTAAAATATGCCCGGCCACGGTGGGATTCGAACCTACGACCTTTGTAATACTAGCCCAATGCTCTTCCAACTGAGCTACGCGGTCAGGACGGTTCGAGTAAGTGATATTTCGGAACAGAATCTAGTTCCTTCAATA